AAACGATTATCAGCACAAGCGGCTAAAAGCTTGCAAAAGGTGAAAGATGATCTACCTAATGTTGATAATATAGAAATGACTGATTTACCTAATGCAGCTGAAACTGCAGTGAAAGTAATAGAAACATCATTTACTGACGAACAAGAAACACAAACAGATATGACAAAGAGAGAAATGGATGGTGTCCTCAAAGCAATGACTACTGTAAAAGAAGAGATTGCAAATGAATTGACTAAATTGAATGAAACAAATAAAGACATAGAAAAAAGAAAAACATAAATTAGAACAAGCCAAATCAGATAATGATGAATTCCAAATAGAGAAAGGATAAGTAGTCGAATAAGAGATTTGGAGTTTGAAAAAAAAGTGCAAGACTGGAAGTAATTAATGTTATAGAGATAAATTACGTAGTCAGGTAAATAGGATAAAGGAAACAATAAATAAAGTATTAAAAGAAGACACTACATTAGCTCAGAGAATAAAAACATTATTTAGAGAACAAGGAATTACAATTGTTAGTGTTTTAACTGCTTTTGGAATGATTATTGGTGTTATTGTTGAGACTTTAATTCCTACTACCGGTGGTGGAACTACAACACCTAAGCCTCCTCCAAAAGATGGAAGTGGTGTAAAAGACTGGATAAAAAAACAATTATCAAATCTTGGTAAACTGTTAGCTACTCTAGCTGGTAAAGCTGCAGAAGCATTGCCCGGTATTATCGGTGCTATTGTTTCTTGGTTGCTTTCTTCCGCGGGTAAAGTTGTATCCTGGTTTGGTGAACATTTATGGGCTGTAGTTGTTCTTGTTGTCGGAATGTTGTATGCAACTGCTAATAATTATATTCGTAAAAAGTAAAATGTAATAATACCTATTACTATACTACCAACGATTAATGCTGCTCTTTTATCTTCGTGTTCTATTGATATATTTTTTTCTATTACATCTGACACTTTAACTAAAGATTTAGCTATTTCTTTAGGTTCTGGTAAAGATTTCTTTGTTGGCGTTCCTTTAATTTCTGTATGTATAATTGTTGGAATTGGTTGAATATTAACATCATTATTCAATCCGAGCTTTTTGATATCATTTTGTTTAATTTTATTATTAGAGTTTGTATTTCTCCAATTTTATTCCAGGATTGAGGAGGAACATGTACAAAGCCAATTCCGTAAAATAGTCACTTTACTTCTGCAATTTTGAATGTGGTTTTGATCATCGGTTATTTAGGATACTGTAAATCTAAGGGTATTGATAGCATCGTTCAACATTGCAAGAAACTTTTCTTTTGCGCGCATCAAAAGCTGTTCCTGTTTCCGGTTAATCAGTTCTTGTTTGAGATTTGGTGGAACAAGAATAGCCAGCATAGTTCTATATTGTTCGTTCAATCCGTGAACGCCGCCTGCTCTCGCGAGAACCTTCTGCAGTATCGAGAATAAGATTAGATCCAAACATCGCTTAACATCATCTTCTTGTTGAATATAATCAATATGAATTTTCTTTGGTGGAAGATATTCGCATGATGAAATACCACATTTTCTTCCACCTGGAACTTCTGGTCCGAATGTCATTTTTGTTAAATCTAAATCAGATGATGTGCTGCTAGAAATATGTTTTGAAGAATAATCATGTCTAAAATCAGTTCGTTTCCATGCAGAGTGACTAGTTGTGTGAACTAATCCTAAACCATCACCACTCGGATACATTTTTTGTCTCCAATCTGAATGAGGGTCTACATTAAACTCTTTACATATTCTTTCGTAAGCACCACGGTCATAACTGTTGTTAAATGCATTCCAACTTTTATCTTGTGGTAGGGCAATAGATAATTCAAATAATATTCTTCTTGTTTGGTAGTAAACGTGAAATAAGAATAGTGAACCGGTCAACCCTCCTGCTTTTAAATGGTTGTTAACATCTATACCACAACCTGTATAGTAGCACACCCATATAGCAAAGTTTAATTGATTTTGCCAAAAACGATAACCAGTCTGCATTCCATCTATTAACTATTTCATTTGATGATATTTTTGGTAATAGGTAATTTTCAAATATATTTGGGAAATCCGCATTAAAACTTTTATTTATCTGATGAAATAATAACGGATTGTTTTATTATATTTATAGGTTTTTAAAGGTATATTCCTCCTGTATTATAAACTACTTCTTTGTTGTATTTGAAATTATGTACTGTCATTTTTATTCATTAAAAAATGTATCAAACAATTTCAAACATTGAAAACACTATAAATTTGCTACAATATATAGATAACAAATGTGGAAATAAGAGAATCGGATTAAAGAGTTTTTACTTATACTATAGGTTGGTATAATTTAATTGATGAATATATACAAAGTATTTTGATAGTCCTAACAAGATTACAAATGGTTATTACAGTTTTCAACAAATAGTAGATATATTTGACAATTATAATATTACATTAACTGTAAATGAAACAAATGGTATTGCCTCTTTAATTACTTCAGATAATTTGAATATAAGTAAAGGTTTAAAAACAAATATTAGGGTTTAAAAAATAAGAAAGGATTTACTGCTAATGAAACGCACTACGGTGAAAGAACAATAGATTTTGCACCTTATAAACAACTATATGTTCATCTTGAGCAGATAAATAGTTCTTACAATTTCTTTGATGGTGCTCCTAGTAATATTCTTTGTGTTGTTCCCGTTGAAAATAAACCATTCGGTGATATTGTTCATATTAATTTTAGTAATCCACAATACAAACAATTGACACATGGTGATATTTCTGAATTAAGTATAAGCGTTTGTGATGAGAAAGGTCAGAAAATAAACAACAATGGATTAACAATTAGTTGTGTTTTGGAAATTATATAGTTTTTTTTACTTTTTATTAATATAATTTTTTCGGGTTTAGAGGTCGCGGGTTCGAGTCCCGCCGGGGATAAAAATTTTTTTTTTTTTGGCGGGTACTATAATTATCATGATTTAAGCATTTCTGTACTTTTCAATTTGGGGGTATAACGGGATGATATTTTTTTTTTTTAGGGTGGGGGAGAAGCGTAATAACCTATATTACTTTTACTTTAGTACTTGCACTATTATCTGCTTTTTCGTCATTCTTTGAGTCATTTTTGGCATTTTCTCTATCAGTATCATCACTTTTATCATTATTTGTTTGCTCATCATCAGATGATTATTTTGAATTCTTTTTGGTAATTCACATGGATTGTAAGTTGGATGAAAATTAGCATGAATCTAAAGGTGTGCGGTTTTAACAATTATAATTACTTTCAATATGCATGGTATTAAAGACTAATTTATATTTTGGCATACCACTTAATCAGATTCCAAAAACTATACCTATCCTTTCTTAAGCAGAAAACAAATATTTTGAATTTCTTGCCTATTAACACAGAAAAAGGCAGTCTAAAGAACAGCTAAATCCCCTTCCGCATGGACATAAATGTGTATTTTTTTACCTTTAACCAACCACGACCTTGATGTTGTACCATGCATATCATAAGCACATAGTCTCGTGATTATTTGTGCCAATTTATTCAAAATCTTCCCAATCATAAAGCAACAATTTTGCAAATGTTCCAGCAATTCGGATTAAAAGCTATAATTTAAAGACTATTTCTATGGAAAAAATCTAAAATATTCAAGTGAAAGAATGTCATATTTTTCATTTACCAACCTCTGATCATGAAACTACCAGTGGCGAGATACTCCCCAGAGGACGCAGTCTTTGATACCTGACTAGGATACACCCACCAGGCACTGGTTACCACTTCAGCATCCCAGGCTGCACTGTTAAATATAGCCATGGTTCCAACTTCATTCAGAGTCTTTGGTGGTATTGGTTCCCCCAGTGTCATGCTTGATAATCACACTGCTAGCACCATGAAGGTCAATATGCACATACACATCTCCTATTAATAATATTATAAAATAATTGAAAAAATATATCTATTTACATGTTCACAAGTCTCAGGCATGCTATGCTTTTAAGTTTCTGGTCCATTCAATGCTATACTTTTAGGTCCCTGGAATGTAATACTTTTCTGTCTCTGGAATGCTTTACTTTTGAGTCTCTGAAATGCTTTACTTTCGGTCTATGGAATAGGAATGCTATATTTTATGTCTCTGAAATGCTTTACCATGAAGTCTCTGGAATGCTTTACTTTTGAGTATCTGGAATGCATGAAATACTCATGTGATACTAAAATTATTTTCACGACTGCTATACTTTAAGTTTCTGGAATGCTATTCTCTAAGTCCCTGGAATGCTTACTTAATTGTCGGGAATGTTATATTTTTAAGTTGCTGTACTGCTATATTTTAGAATGTATAAAGCTATATATCTACATCCTAAAGTTTACAAAATCACTGTTTGAATTTTGAATAAGAATAATTGTATTAAAGAAAAGGGATATAGGCCATGCCCATTAAACACCGTCTATCATGCTACACATTTGTGCCAAATTATTTCAAAATCCCTTGAAGCATGACAGAGTTATGAGAAGTACAAGGTTTTCAAACGCATGTAACCTCTTATCATCATGACGGGCATAAAAACTAAGTGATATTCAGGGCATAGCCAATGTTTATCCTAAGGCTATGGTTTATATAACTTTTGTAGTCCAAACAAAACCACATTGTTCACATATATTTTCCAGATATCAAAAGTACAGGCATGCAGAAATGCAGAATGTCTTTAATTTCAACTCTTTTAAAAGATCTCATTTTATTCTTTTATCTAGACATGCACTGCTTGATCCAGTATCATACCTTTACATTATAACTGCCTTAGATACATGTATTATCAAGAAAAGTCAAAGGTAGAACGATTTTACAACAAGAGTGAACTGATATTATTTTGATAACAAGAACACAGATTTTAACTTTAAACATTATAAAACTGATACAGGCTTATCAAACTACCATATCATAAAATTAAACAAAACCTTTGGTCCCTCATATGATCACATATCATTACATGTATATAATTATATGGCCTATGTTATAACTTTCAAAACAATCGAAAAAATCTCTTAAAGAAAACCTTTCAAACTCGAATACATTGTACTTTACTTCAAGGGAAAGGATACATTAAAAGAAATTCAGAAAATCAGGAATTTTCTAAACTTCCTAAAAAAAAGAGAAAGAAATGGCTACTGATGACGGTGCATCAACAACATTTGACTCAGATGAAGTTAAGGAAATGTACTGTGAAGAATGTGAAAAACATGGTGATGGCTATACACCCGCTGTAGCTTTCTGTGTGGATTGTGTGGAATATAAATGTGTGACCTGTCAAAAATATCATAAGAGACAATCAAAAACTCACAAAATTCAAGATAGTGACAGTATGCCACAAGATTTTTATTTAGAAAAGTGTTACAATCATCCTCAACAGCTGATCAAGTTTTACTGCTCTGAGTGTAGCAAAGAAGCCTGCAAAAAATGCAAGGATAATGAGCATGTTAAATGTAGTGACGTGAACCATTTACCAACCGTTGCTTCAGGCATACAAAATAGTGATGAACTAAAAGACCTTCAACAGAAATTGGATAAAATGACTGTTTACATAAAAGACACAGAAAAGCTGTTAAATGACAATAGTAAAGTGGTTCACAAACAAGAAGAACAGGCAATAGAAGCATGTAAGGAGCACAAAGATAAACTGATAGAAGCCTAAAAACAACAACATCAAGATCTTATTGATGACTTTGATAAAATGATGGAAGAGGCCATTGCAAAGTTGAAGCAAGAAAAGTTAGATCTAGTTCAAGTGTTGTCTGAAAAGGAGAGAATGGTTAAAAACAAGATAACAAAAGCTGAAACAGATATGAAAGAAAAGGTTCTGAGCACTAACACAGAATTTAAGGTACTCAAGTCAGAACATTTGAATTTGGTTGAAAACTTGAAGGTTCTTACTGTTGATCTAGAACAAGCCCAGAAATTAGGTGAAAACTGTAAACTTTTTATAAAATTGAAATCTACAAAACCACTGTGTGAACAACTTCACCAAAATATTGAACAAATACAACAAGCCTACATACAGCACTACAAACTCAAAACCTCAGACATTCAACCAACAGAACTATCTCTTGAAAGTGAAACAAGGTTTTTCACATTTGAAAATGTAGATGCATCAGCTGTAGTAAGGAAGGTTGTATTTAATTTTGATATCAACTGTCACATTGACCTCATATCCTCTTTATTTGTCCTATCTGAACATACACTTCTTATATCAGATTATAAAAAGTGTAGCCTAGTCATATACAAACTAGAAAATTCACAGGCAAATCGTATGGATGACGTAAAATTTTGTTCAAATCCATTTGATATTACAAAAGTTTCAGATTATAAAGTTGCTGTAACATTTCCAAATGAAAGCATGATCAGATTTATAACATTTTCAGAAGATATGAAAGTTTTAGATATCACTGAAATACCAGTAAATGGTCTTTGTACTGGTATTGCCTATAGGAATCCCTATCTTGTAGTTTCATATTGGAATCCAGCTATTGTTAAGATTCTAAGTATGTCAGGTGAAATAGTGAAAACATTTGGCAAAGATGATAATGGTCAAAATCTGTTTATTGAACCTTGCTACTTAACTGTCAGTCCTGACAATACTATGATATATGTTTCTGATCGCAAAAAACACACACCTGTTTAACCTGATGGTAAGGTGAAGGCTGTCTACAAGGATGATCAATTGAAAACACCTTATCAACTTGCTGTTGATGAATATGGATCAGTATATGTTTGTGGTTTTCACTCTGGAAATATCCATCAAGTATCAAGTGACCTCACTAAAGTGAAGATTTTGATAGATAAAAATGATGGCTTAGATAAGCCAGAGAGAGTTGCATACTGCCCAGTCACTAAGAGATTGTTTGTGGGAATGCCAAATAAAATAAAAGTTTTCAAAGTGTTGGTAGAATAAGCAATAACAACCCTTACACAGAGACTCATCAACAAGCAGTCATACTACTGCTCATATTTAGGTAGAATAAGGGTCGTAATCTTTAACGCTTGACTTAAATATATCACAGTTTATAAATTATCTAAGTTTAAAAGTGAAGGAAGCTATAAGCTTATAAACACACTCTGAATTCTTGAATCTGATTTACATCCGATAATATCCATCAATTATCGTGTGACCTCACTTAAGTGAAGATCTTGAAAGATAAAAGTCATGGATTAAATCAACCAAAAGTGTTGCATACTGCCCAAATACCAAGAGATTGTTTGTGGGAATGCCAAACAAAATAAGTTTTAATGTGTCACTAGTAGAATAAACCATAACAACGCTTACACTGAAGCTCATCAACAATCGGTCATACTACAGCAAAGGTTGCAGTAGAATAAGAATCTTTAACACTTGACATAAATCTTAGTTTATACAAAATTTATTTTAGTTTCATTGTGAAGGAAGCTATAAGCTTATATTCACACTCGGAATTCTTGAATCTGTTCCTAACACCAACAAGTAATAAGCCATAAGTTTCTTGCTTAAGGAATTAAAGGCTTACAACTGGCGGAGTTTAAAATCATGAGGTCAGCAATCCTTGGATTACTAATTAAACATGGTATAACTACTTGCCCACATGGCAACATACGATATGATAAACAAAATCAACAAGGAAAGGTGCCGTTCAATGAACGCAACCTTCACACGACCCAGCAAGAGAAACCTTGAAATGTCATATTCAACAGAATATAATGTTAATGTTAGGTTAGTTGTCTGTTTGGGTTTAACCGTGATACTGACACATTACTGGTTATACTGTGCCATTTTCATAAGATGTAATTAACTATGTTGGGTGCAAATTTACTATGTATATATTTTACTGTACAACCTGATCATAAATACTTGAATAACGAATAAAATATTTGATGTGTTAGAAAATGTTCAGCTTTTAATGCAGTCATAGTTATTTAAGAAAAAAATGTTTGCTTTGCTTGCCAAAACACTGTAAATTGTTTATGACCTGAATTTAAGACAATAGTATACAAGAAAAAGATTCAATTTCTTCAACTGTTACCATTTACAGGCAGAAATATGCAATCAGAGTTTACATGTTTACAGAAGAGCTGCCAGTGTGACAATTAGTGTAATCATTTTTAGTGTTTGATAGTAAAATAGCCTGGATAATGTTAGAATCAGCAAACAGGAAGATTTCATTCCAAAAATACAAATAATGTATATGTACATGATATATAGTTATGTGTCTTGGATATTGACCAAAGACGTTTGTTCAATTCAGGAAGGGCCTGATTTTGTTCAAAATCCATGCCATAGTTATGGGTCTTGGAAAGTGACCTTGAATTAAATTCCAACTAGAAATGAAATGTGTCTTAAGAACACAGATATCCCCACTATATATATTATGACCCTTAATAATAATAAGACGCCGAAGGTTAGCATTATATCTTAATATTCACAAGAATGATTTCTCTGATTTTCATCACAATCATGTAGTTTTTTTTTACACAAATATAATAAAAAATCATAGAAAAATTAGTAAAAGACAGAAATGGCCGGGTTGTATTTGAATTCCAAACATCATGAAGCTGTGATGCTACGAAAATTTTCTTCCATTGAACAATAATGTCGAAAATTTGAAGTTGGTAAGTAGGAAGAGGATGAGCCAAAGACCTGAAGTCGAGTCCCGAGGTATGAGAACACGTTTTAATGCTGTACACTAAATATCAAGAGGCTGTGATAAGTAGCTGCTGAGAAAAATGTTACTGAAATTTCCTACCGTTGGCCATTCCTAGCGAAAAGTTATCTAAGTTGGTAAACTGGAAGTGGATAAGCCAAAGACCTGAAGTTGAATCCCACCGTATGTGAGCACACAGTAAAATATCACTTGGCTGTGATAAGTAGTTAATACGAAAACTGTTACAAAAATTTTCCCCGCCAATCCGGCGCCTGCCCTACCAACAGCCCATCCGCCCGACATTCACAATGCTATAAACCGGGTTTGCACCTGTGCAAATGATTATTATCAAACTTTAGATAATAAAAATTGCAATATAAATCAGAAAAGGAATCACTTTATTCTGTTTCCCCATCTTTTATCAGTATTGTTTGCAACTTAACATTTTTGATACATTTATTTATAACACCCCGTTCTAGTGCACCTTCCTGTTAATTAAAATATAACCTACGTATAACGCTCTTACGCAATGGGTTTATCCCCACATTTTGTTCATTTTGACATGTTGATCAGACAGCTCTCAAACTTTTTTGATAACACCAACACGGGGAGTATCATGCCGTTCGTTACCAAACAAACAAGATGGCGGATGCAGTCGAAAAGTAAGTTTTTCCCTTTTTTCTCTGAAATTCGTGATGTTCTTGTGTAATAATATATATATATATATATATATATATATATATATATATATATATATATATATATATATATATATATATATGTATATATATATATATATATATATATATATATAAACCTTCTCCACAACTTTTCGGGCACATAAGATTTTATTTCATGATGTTTCGTCCCGTACTTCTTTTGAAATGCGCGTCACAAGAATCGAAGCGAGAGAATTTTCCACCGGTTTGATCGTGATATAACGTACGGCTTCTTCTCACAAATTTAGTTTCTTTTTCAAATATGTATATTAACTGAAACCGCTGACTTTAAAAAGTTGTAGTAGGTTGTCGTCTTAGCATCCATACCTATTCTGGCTAAATTTACTGCTTTAAATATTAATATCGGGGCATTTTCCGGAAATGATAACGTATAGCGCGCAAAATATCAATGATAACGTACGGCGCATTTTTCTACTTGGTGGATTGTCAGCTGATAATGAATTATTTGTATGTAGGATATGATATATATCTGGAAAAAAATGTTTGTCAGTTCAGCAATAAATAATTGGACAATGCTGCCCCATCGGGTATGAATATCTTTCTAGCTGGTGGCATAATAGATATTCGTTGTTATTAATCTTCCAATTAAACTCACATGAGATTTTTTGTATAAATTGCAGCCTCCACTTCCAGGAAATAGTGTGTATTGTTGTCTAAAAGTGATTGCGACTAGCTTACATCCAGATGAAATGAGTCTGTGTTTATTCAATCTGGTCGCTCATTGAAAGAAAAAAACATGTACATAACAGAGAATAATGAATGAGTGTAGGTTCTATATTGAATTTATTGCATGCGTTAAAAAATAATATCATGACAAAAAGTTTAATAAATTTAGCAAATAAGAAATTTCCTATTCATTTGACTGGCGGTCAATATTTAAACTCTACCACTTAGCGTGTCGTTGCATCACTATGACGTCAGATATTTGCACGACCTAACCATACAGTGTTTTAATTATGAATGAAAGGAACATGATAATTTGATCAAAACTGTTACATGAATTTGCCTTTCATATTCTGGCGTTTTTTTCCCCACAAATTCCCGAACAATCAATTTTTTTATAAAAAGTATTGTAGTTATCAGCAATAAAAGAGTGACTTTAAAATTTGCTTATTAATTTCAAGTGGTAAACATTTTACCGACAATGAAATATAAGTTTCTAATCGGATTTGGATTCCGATGTATTTTTTTTTCATGCCGGAAAACGCGTCTGTTACCTTTAATGCCAGACAACTCATGCGCCCTTATGACGTCATTATCTTTATGAAAGAACGGTTATAAAAAATTCTACGCTACAATGAAAATAGTATTTACGAAGCACATGTTAGTGTTCTTATCACACGCCAATCGCAACTACTCGGCCCTTTCCGTCAGTCTTCGGATAAGGACCTCGAACACAATAGTATGAATACACAGAACGGATGCGGTATTTCGGTCTAACCTACGCTAAGAAACTAAACATGTTAACAAATAGTAATTTAATGCTTGGAGTTGTTGACAAGTTTATTTCCAATATATGTAGTAAAAGTCCACCTAAAATAAGTGAATTCATAGGTACAATAGCAAATAATACATTATTTATATATTTATTATTAAATGGTTGTAGAAACCGAAAGTACAAAAAAACAACCTGGATTTGTTTAAAATTGAACATCAGTGGGCATACTTAAATTGTAAATTGTTGTCAGACATATTTTCAAGCATAAGAGTACCGGGACATACATTAGATGTCAAATATATACATTCGTTTTACATTATCTCTGTTTCTGTTTACATCTGAAACCACGTGGTAGAACTACTTTCAATCCGTATTGTTTCCGAGGTTATTATAGATAATAGCCGAGGCAGTTCCGAATGATCACACGCCTGTGTCGATTTTGCGAAAAAAAATCCGTAAAAATGGTATGTACGACCGTGCATATATTTTGACGTGACGTCATTAGCGTTACACAAACATACCGTAATTGTTAGCGTTATACTATAGGCGCGTCAATGAACAGTGACTCTTTTTCACTTTAAACGGTCGTGATTTTGGGTATGTGATAAATAGAATATTAAATTCGTGTAAATTCATTACTGAATTTATTGAACTCGTTGAATAAAATAATATTATGCTTGCCAAAGGCTCTCATAAAATAATTTTATCCAACTCGTGCAATAAATTCAGTATTGAACTTACACTCATTCAATATCCTCTATATCCGTGCTATTCTACAGAAATTAGAAACTTAGACTTTTTCCTACATTTGTAATAAATATATATTACTTGACATTTTGTCTTGGTTTTTACTTTAACACGTGCAGTATCTTTTTCGCGAAGACGTGGATTTAAATCTGAACTGCATGTATATATACAAAACTAATATAGGTTGGCCTTCAGGCGTAATTTTTACTTAATTAATATTTAAAAGCGGCCCACGAAAGTGCATGTGCAAATTAATGCAAATGACTATTTTTACAAACGCGGTTCTATGAAGCACTGTATATGACAAATAGAAGGAGACTATGAAGTATTGACTTTTGTTCTTCTATGAAAATTACAAGGGGTCATACCATGCGCGCGCAATTTAATTTTTTTTGGAAAAAAGATAGCCTTACTTCTAGTTTTAATAATCCAAATGCCTTGACACAAGTCTTCCCTTTCTCGTCAGTATTTCGAGTTGAGTGCGATTTTGATTCTGGATACTGCATACACCCGGCGTTGAAATGTTACAGAAATTGAGAAATTGCTGATTAAACACAACTGGAAGTTAGTTTATAGTAGAATTTAATTCAAATCTATTCTGATTGCTTTGCATGACTCGTTTTTTGTTTTTGTTGTTTTTTTTTTTGCTGAAAAAGTGTTCGCGGTATCAGAATTTTGAGGATGCGCGCGCATAGTATGACCCACTTGAATTAACACAAATAATTTTGAAAAAAAGACAGGTTTCCATTCATGACAAATACATTTGGACACTAATTTTATTTAGTGTCCAGCTTTATTTGTCATCCAATGAAAACGCTGTATTTCTTAAAAATTCTTTGTGTTTACATATCGGATTTAGATATTTCTATCCAGACAAATATTATTATACAAACACTAATTAATATTCAGTTCCTTTGTTTGGTTCTACACATCCTTTTATGTCAGGAAAGACCCAAGCAAGAAACGTAACTTTTCTATCCGATACAAACTAATATATAGAAATTCTAATAAGCAGAAAAATGCGCCGTACGTAATCATTCATATTTGTGCAACTTTTTAAAGCCATACATTTTGTAAACGAAACAGTGAATTTTAGAGAAGCCGTACGTTACCACGATCAAACCGGTGGAAAATTCTCTCGCTTCGATTCTGGTGACGTGCATTTCAGAAGAAGTACGGGACAAAACATCATGAAATAAATCCTGTGTGCTCGAAAAATTGTGGAGAAGGTTGTTATATGTACATTTACACTAGAACATTACGAATTTCAGAGAAAAAAGGGAAAAACTTACTTTTCGACTGCATCCGCCATCTTGTTTGTTTGGGTAACAAACGGCACGATTCTCCCCCGTGGTATTTCAGAACTCAAATTATCATAGTGGCACAGTAATATGGTGAATTTTTGCTTGTCAACAATCTGATCTCATAATGAGCGTTTTTTATCAGAACCCGATTTAAAAAAGGTTTTGAGTGCTTGTACCCCAACAGGACCATAGTACATGGTCGTTTTCAAAATGGCCGTTAACAAAATGATTGTGTACAAAATGAATACAAAATGAATACAAAAGTAATGTTTCAGCAATTACAGCTGACTCTTATCAAGTCTCTCTCATAGGTACTTCATGACTTCCCTTCATGACCGGCTACCCGCCATTTTTATAAACGTTTATCTATAACACAAACACCTATCAATTCATTAAAAATTTACCGCCAAAAATAGTAATTTATATATACAGTATATATATTTGTACATTTATGTTCCTACGACTGTATGCTAAGCATTCAAGTGATGAGATGTAATTTAATTGATGCAAAATATACCTTAGTACATTGGTATAAATCAACTTTTAGTTGCTTTGGTTTTCGTTTCCACCCTATAAACACTATAAAGGTCAAAGTGTACAATGCCTCATTGCAGTTGAAAAGGGAATGTAGGTGCGTACTTCTACATGCATTGGTCTAGGTCAGGTTTGTATATTACAAAAAGGTAAATTAAAATAAATTTTCCTTTCCAGGGGCATGTCCTGCAAATAACATCTTTTTGATAATGTTTCATTGTGTATTGTTCATTTATAAAGGAAACCCCTGTTTCTTTTCCCTCTGCCACCCAATACATGCCACAATTCTATTTTAGGTTTAAAAGTGTATAATAATTGACTTCTATCATTTGCCTGCAATATTGCATTACATAAATCAACATAGTGTAAAATGGTTTTTGAGAATTTATTATTATGTACATCACCAAACAACAATTGTCTTTATAACAGCCATTATCTTTTTTTTATTTCACATTGCTGCATCAAGAAATGATAAAACTTAACAATAGAGGGGAAGGACTCTAAGATAAATATATTCATACACAAATTTTATCCTTGAGCTATAGCATTTTTTGTTACATAATTAAATAAAATCCTTGAGCAAACAAAGCAAGAACTCACCTTTTCAGAAAAAGTACTAAATACCATGTCTAAATGATAAAAGAAATTAAGTATTTATTCAACAATTATTTGAAAAGAAATAATCTTTCTTTTATCATAGTCTTATAATAATTATTTATCATTATAATATTCAATTGCACAATTAGATTTTATTGTCTGATTTTGAATTCACTTCCTCTTCACCTTGCTAATGTTTGGGGCTGTGACCTTCACTTTTCCTGGAATGTTCCGTGATATGTTCACATCCTGAAAAATATAAGGTATAAGATATCTTATTACTAATGTTTAATTTTTTGCAATTTTGGAAAAGGTTTGCATTATTATAAACTTCTCTTATTGCCCTTTTTAAGATCTTTATAACTCTCAGCAAGCATCTTAGCTCAAATTCATTCAGGCTATACCACCAGTAACCTTTATAACCAATTTTTCTGTTGGTTTTTTAAGCCGATTTAACACATATTATTGTCATATCAATTGACATGGAGAAATTACGCCTTGCCCAATGATCTAGCCAGCATCCCCTGGTTTACAAACACAATGCTCTCCTTATTGAGCTATTCATGCCAATATTATAACATAAAGCTCACCTTTGATATTTTTACAAGGTCTCTTTCTCTTGGTGTTATAGTTTTATCATACTGGAACATGTTAATGGCAATTTTTGCAGCTAAAAAGAAAACAAACATTTCATTTTTACACAAACAGATTGAATGTTTGATCAATTATTTTGCATGATGAAAAATGGAAGCCGGTCGATTGCATTTGAGAAATTTAGCAGGTTACGGTTTAATAAACCAGCAAGACAGTTGGTTTATCAATCTTGCATGAGTACTAGTCATTAAATTTTATTAACTAACTGACTAAATATTATCAACAGTTTTAAACTGGCCTAATTATTGTTTTCATTATATTTTGTTGCATAAATTTACTGACTTCAAACACGCTTATACTTTTAACACAACATATGAAAGGCTTGGGCCAAATGCTGTTTTTAACATTAATGCTGGCTCTCCCCAAGTGAGTAACCTATAGGCTAAGATTAAGTTGGTTGAAAAGTTAAGTACACTAGGTACCATTTATAGTATCTTTAGAAAACACACAGGCTAAATTTAACTAGTCAATCAATGGCTTTGTCAATCAAGTGTTTGTAAGACTTTCTATGTCTAAAATGATCAAATAATAGTCTAATTAATTTTGTACCTTTTCCTCTTTTTGTTGACCCTGGCAGCAGCTTAACCTTGTACCTGAAAGATTTAATATGAATGGTGAAAATTATACGTAAGACAATAAAAATATTACCAAAATTTCACTTTTAGTCATGTCATTAGAGCTGCATGACCAAACATTTTGAGAGGTTATTGTTTTAATTTTCAAATTCATACAAATTGATATACGCTTTAAACATAAAAGCTGAACAAAATCATCAGAAGGGGGTCATTTTTCAAGTCTTTATAGAAATAGTGTAGGACTTAAAATATGGTTTGGCTTAAATTCATTATCATTACACCAAATAAGTGACATTATAATTTATTATGTGTAAAACTTCTTCCTTACAATATGTCAGATTTATCTATAATTAATGAAACATAATTATAACTTTTTAGACTCAGAATTACTTAACATTTAACATATATCAGTCTTAAATGAAATTTGCGAAACTTAAATATTATTTGTCAGACACTTCTAATTGTCATACTTAACTTACAAATTACTAGACTTGCATTCAATTTGTAAAACTTGCTAACAATTTGTCACTTACTTATAATTTGTCAGTGCATTGTATGGAGCACAGACTGGCAGAGCAAACAGCAACTCATCCTCAATATTTGGTATGCCAGTCAAAGAATTCAAAATCTGCTGGTCCTGAAAAAATAGATAAGTTGAAATAGTATAAAGCCATGGTAAAATGATCTTGTATTAAATTATTTTTTCTGGAACAGAGAAAAGGAAAATGACAACACAATGCAATCACACAATTTCCTAGTGGACTATTTAAAGGGTAAAAAATGTTCAATCATGAGTGTCATGGGCAAATTTTCTGCAATGTGTGTATTAAAAGAAAGAAAATCATGTCAGAAAACATTTAATCATTTTTCCTGGAACAAAGAAACAGAAAATGACTGCATAATTCAATCATGTAATTTTCAAGAGAACTATCCAATGGGCAAAAAAAGTTAACAATAATGTCAAAACTTATACTGATTTTAATTCTCTTAAAATTCAAATCTCCTATTTCATTTATTTGACATAGACTTTATGTTTTCACATGACATAATACTAGTTATACAGTCTTCTATTGCTTTTTATTGTCACTGTTATATTATGAAGACTTACATCAGTAGTTTGTGTGTCATCTTCTAACTTCTCATCATCGTCATTGACCTGAGCTTCTACAATCTCTTTATTGTTTGTAGGATCCTCTGAAATCATATTCAAGTATCACTTTTAATTGTCATGATCAATTTTGTTTTTTCTTCTCTTTTTTATGACGACTTTCCAGCTTTACTGGTACCCCTCTGTGCATTTTTCAGGCATAAGGGGCACCTGAGTAGAACCAACAACTTACCATAAGCTAGCTGGATAGCTTTTCAACATGAAAACAATCTGAAGTTCCTGACGAGAATCTAACCCACAGGCGTGAGGGGCAAATGGTTTTCAAGTCAACAACCTTAGTGACAAAAGCACTATAAATGTCATATGTCTTTCAAGCTTTACTGGTGTAGGAAAACTCCACTCAATATTACAAGTATTAGTGAACAACTAACCATAACCACTTGGCCATGAAAGCTGAGCCTCCCCATATGCCAATAAAAAAAATAAGACATTTTCTAATAAGAAAAACATTGTCAGAGAATTTACTGTTAAATACAGGGTAACATAAAGATTACAGCTCTATGATAATCTGATTTATGTGCCACCAGAGCAGAATTTACAATTTACTAAAGGAATGCATATCAAAATTCAATATAGAAACCTTTACACATGCTCATTATTTTTCACAAAAAATCTAAATCTGAAAAAAGTTGGGACAACATACCTGTAATTGCTGTGTTTTCAACATCTTTAATAATGATATCAACAAGTTCTGGCTTCTTTCTCTGTTGTTGTTGGGGTTTTTTCTCCACTGCAGATTGTGGACGTCCTTTTTCATCCTTCTTTCCTTTCTTCTTTTTATCTTCCTTTTTACTGCCAGCAGACTGTAGATAAAGAAAAGTATCAATCATCTCAAAATAAAAAGTGTAGTTTCATTTTCCATATTCCTCGGATATCAAGGTAAACAGATTTACTAATCAAACAGTTAAACTACATATTCTGGTGAGCTGGCCTTGATCAATCATGAATCATAAGTTTGATTTATGTACAGTGTGCTCTCATATAATTAAATCCAAAAATTTCAGCTGAATAGTTTTCTTCATATTTGCCATAGAAAGATTGCTTTGGTATACAAATGTACATTTGTACTTGTAAAACATTGTAGTAATTTTGTTTTCTCATCACTTTTTAATGTAAACCTGAACATCACAGAAAATTTGTGAAATTCAAGGAAAAATCTGTAGCTTTAATTACCTTTCAAAATTCTAAATTAACTATTTACAATTAATACTCAGTTGCCCTGTTAGCATAGCAAACAAACAATGAAACTCACAGCAAGAATTTCCATACGGAGTTGTCTCTCTTCCTCATCCTGATCTTTATATTTGTCCTTCAATTTCTTCATCTTGGCCTGAAGTAACAATATATATATAAATATTTTTTGTGGTTAATTTGTATTTTCTAGTATGACTTCTGACTATGATGAAATATAGACTAGTTTTGTAGGTGTAGATTTCATCCAAAGTTACATCATACCAAAAAGTGCATATGTTTACTGTACAGCTGGTACTGAATTATTCTTAATGAAACATGACATATACAACAATGCTAACAACTTAGTTTAACCCTAAACCTATTCGACATCCTAAATGGATTTAGCTTCCATTTCATGGATTGTCCATTATCAACACTGAGTAAGAAAATTTAAAGTCAGCCAGTCAAAATTGTAGAGCCTGTCAGACTGAAATGATGATGGTGGCAAAGTCTTTCAGCAGGATAAAGAATAAACTAGAGGATGCTTTTGTAAAAAAGCGCATGTCTCCCCCACTGCTGAGAATAACTGTGAATGGAAACAGGAATGGAAATGGAGATAAAAGAACAGAGTATATAAAACCAGACAACTGATATATCACTGATATATCAATAATAGTTAAATGTCCTCACTGATAAGAACTCTAGTTATCATCCGGAAATGAGAAAATGACCAATGGTCACTGTGACCTTAACCTTTGACCTACTGACCCCATAAACAAGAGGGATCATCTGCTCAATAAGACCAATCATCCTATGAAGTTTGAGGGTTGTAGGTCTAAAGGAACTCTAGATATCATCCGGAAAGGAGAAATTAACCAACGGTCGCTGTGACCTTGACCTTTGACCTACTGACCATTAAAACAATAGGGATCATTTGATTAATAAGACCAATCATCCTATGAAGTTTGAGGGTTGTAGGTCAAAAGGAACTCTAGTTATCATCCGGAAATGAGAAATTGACCAACGGTCACTGTGGACCTTGACCTTTGACCTACTGACCCCAAAAACAATAGGGATCATCTGCTCTATAAGACCAATCATCCTATGAAGTTTGAGGTCTGTAGGTCTAAAGGAACTCTAGTTATCATCCGGAAACGAGAAATTGACCAACGGTCAGTGTGACCTTGACCTTTGAACTACTGACCCCAAAAACAATAGGGATCATCTACTCAATAAGACCAATCATCCTATGAAGTTTGAGGTCTGTAGGTCTAAAGGAACTCTAGTTATCATCCGGAAACGAGAAATTGACCAACGGTCAGTGTGACCTTGACCTTTGACCTACTGACCCCAAAAATAATAGGGATCATCAGCTCTATCAGACCAATCATCCTATGAAGTTTGAGGGCTGTAGGTCAAAAGGAACTCTAGTTATCATCCGGAAACGAGAAATTGACCAACGGTT